AAGGAGAGTTTAGATATAATAAATACTTACTTACTAAGGGGGGTAAGCGCACCTAGCAAAAAGAGTGAGCCCGCCGAGCAATTCACTCAGAACTTATCCCGTTCGTCCAAAAAAAGAGAAATTCACTTGTCCGTCCAAAAACGTTTCGATAATTCTGGCAAGGTTTTACACACCGACTTGACTGTTGAACATGACCCAATTCGAGACCGATGCTGAACAAATCTTTCTCTTGCTTCCATCAGCTGGTTCTGGTCGCAGGACAAGGCAGACAGGTGGGAAGCGTGTCTTTGACTTGAGTGACGATTTTTAAATGTCATCATGTACACATTGGCAGATTTACGTAGAAAACCGGGTGACCTCCGTGTGACACCGAGCGAGCATTAAAGCAAGAGCACAGAGGGCTGGGACGTAGAGATACACTCAGTAGCGGAAACAGCTTTCATTCACAGAGCCAAATGATAGAATTGGTGCTTTATCAAAGTAGTCCATAGATGCTTTAAATCCTCACAGCGAGATTCCACCATCAAATATTGCGTCAACTCTCCTCCACCTACTGACTTATATCTTGAAATCACGCAAGGGCGACAGTCGCTATGCCCACAAAGGCTTGCAGTGATGACTCAAATCAATCTCATAATCCCATGGTGTCCAGGGTCCTTAGTTTTTCTTTTGATTTGCCGTTTCAGCGTCCCTCGCGCACAGGAGCGCATACATGTCAGGATCGTTTTCTTTGGCCCAATCCAGGCATGCCTCTTTCGCAATTTCCTTGAAACATGGCCCCTTTGCAATCAACTCCATTATTGACAAGAGAACTGCCAAGATATAGAGAACCAGAAAAACGATGGGGTGGGCTTCTGTTTTATTTGGTAGTCTCCAATCTTCAAGACACCTGATTCCAAAGTCTATGGTAAAGTAGGCCGTGAATCGCACGAACCAACGGAATACTCGTGGACGGAAGAGGTAGTAGCGGACTTTGGCGAAAAATCCCAATGAAGGAGGGACGTTTGATGTGGTATCAAAGACTATAAGCCCGTAAGCGCACCAGCCAAGGGCTGCGATATTGGAAAAGATGCGCATGATGTGTGATGGGTTGGTGGTATGTGGTCGTGCGTCGCGCGCGGTGTTTTGCTCGTTTGGATATTTCAGCGTGAAAATTTGAGAATACGGGTATGTGAGAATATGAGTGCTTGGATGCTGGAATGATTGAATGATTGAATGCTGAGTGCTTGAGTGCTTGAGTCTAGTTATGATTGTTCTGGTAAGTGTTGATGCTGCTCCAAAGGCGGGCACCTTGAAGCTTTATACCCCAGGAAAATGAAAAAGAATGGAATAGAAACCACCAGACGTGTTGCAGCTCGTAACTTTACCTGTCGAACCTAGTGCCAGCTCGTCTGGCGCCGGCGTCTTTCTATATGCGACGATGCGCGCTATACTGCGCCATCAGTGTTGAAGAACATGCCATGGCTGTACTAGAAAGTGTCTGGTGTCCGAGGCTACATTGTATTCATCCGCTGATGGCCCATCCTAGTACACTTATGCTTTGGGTTTGTCCATGTTTGGAAGCGTCCAAAGCAGACGAAGCTGGTTGCGAAACTATGAGATGATGGATTTCATGCCGACACGTTGAATCTATAGTCCGCTTCTTTGTCCTTGTTTGATTTAATAGTATAGATGTGTAATGAATAAATCTCAAGGTGCCTGGGTAGAGGATGTCGACTTTATCTTGTCCTTGCCAATATGTGTGATTAAGACATGTGGAATAAAGGACTTGGCCCTGCATGTACTTGTCGTAAAAGACAACTTCGCTATTCTTTGGGCCTTGTTACTAGATTTAACCTTAATCGAACGTACTACTCGCAGTAGCAGACACAACCACGCTTCCCAAGGCGGCGTAAAACCTCCTACCTAACAAAGGTTATATAACTGTAATTACACCACCATCAGGCACATACGACCACAGCCGCTAGTAAAACTTAGGATCCCGTCCGATCTCCCTGAATAACCTAGCGAGCGCTAGATTAGTAGTTGGGTCGGTGACGACCAGCGAATACCTAGTGTTGTATGTAATTTTTGGTTTATTATTTTTTGCCCAACCTTGAAAAAATCAACACAATCAATTCATACTACCTACTATTATCGCAGTCGTCACAGCCAGTCAGTAACTGGTGCGGAAATATCTCGGACATGAAGGGCTAGCTCCGAGCAGCCTCAAAACTTACTTCACAGCTCCACATTTCCTCACTTACACGTCAACTGGTCCTTATAAAAGACACAACGACCGTACAATACAACCGCCCGCCCGCCATGAAACCATCTCGCACCCGCATCAACCCGCTCCCACAATGCCGGGCCTCCTCTCCCGCGCCCTCGCCGAGCTGGGCCTCGCGACGCTCGCCTCGTGCGCCCCCGACATCCGGCTCCTCATGGCGCAGCGCTTCACGCGCCTCTTCGCCTACGGCGCCTCGACCCTCATCCTCGTCAGCTACCTCGAGTCGCTGGGCCACGACCGCGCCCAGTCAGGCCTGTTCATGACGCTCACCCTCGCCGGCGACATGGTCATCAGCTTCTTCCTCACCCTGGCCGCGGACAGCATCGGCCGCAGGGCCACGCTCGCCGCGGGCGCCGCCCTCATGGCCCTCAGCGGCGTTGCCTTTGCCCTCTTCCGCAACTACTGGGTGCTCCTGGCCGCCGCCGTGCTGGGCGTCATCTCCCCCAGCGGCAACGAGATTGGGCCCTTTCGCGCCGTCGAGGAGAGCATCGTCGCGCACCTGACGGCCCGCGAGGAGCGCAGCGACGTCTACGCCTGGTACAGCCTGCTCGGGACCGCGGGCACCGCCTTTGGCATCGTGTCCTGCGGCTGGGCGACACACGCGCTGGTCCGCGCCGGCTGGGACTCGGGAGAGGCCTATAGGCTCGTCTTCTGGGGGTACGCGGGCCTGGGCGCCGTCAAACTGCTGCTGACGCTGGGCCTGTCACGGGCCGTCGAGGCCGAGGGCAAGACCGCGACGGAAGGGCGGCCCTCGGGGACGGGGACGGAGACGGAGCCGCTGCTCGCCGCGGCCGAGGAGGCGCCGCCGCAGAGGAGGTCGTGGAGGTCGCTGATGCCGCACGTCACAGCCGAGAGCAGGGCCATTGCCGCCACCCTGTGTCTGCTGTTTGGCCTGGATGCGTTTGCCTCCGGCCTCGCGCCGCTGTAGGTTCTTCCCTTCCCTCGGTGTCTTGGTTTGCTTGCTTGCACCTCGTCGTCGGCTGCTAATTCGGCGCAGGTCCTGGGTGACGTTTTACTTTCGCTCGCGGTTCGGCATTGAAGAGGGCCGCCTGGGCTCCATCTTCTTCGTCACGTCTCTCATCTCGGCGGCTTCCGTCATCGTGGCCTCGTCCATTTCCAAACGCCTGGGAAACGTCAAGGTGAGCTCTGGAAACGCCAACACCGGGAGAGACGAAGCTGACAAAAAGACCACAGACCATGGTGTTCACACACCTCCCCTCGTCCGTGTTCCTGGCCCTCCTCCCCCTCCCTTCAAACGTCTCCCTCTCCCTCACACTGCTGGCCCTCCGCGCGTGCACGCAATCCATGGACGTGGCTCCCCGCTCCGCCTTCCTGGCCGCCATTCTCTTGCCCTCTGAGCGGACCGCAGTCATGGGGCTGGTCAATGTCGTCAAGACGAGTGCGCAAAGTCTGGGACCCCTCATCACCGGTGTCTTGGCAAACCATGACTTGTTCTGGGTCAGTTTTGTGTGTGCTGGTTCCTTGAAGGTTTGCTATGATTTGGGACTGTTGGTTGTTTTCAAGGAAAGAGAGCGACGAAGGGCGAGGGATGAGGAGACGAGGTCATGAGCGATGGGCGATGGGTGATGTAATGGCTGGGGCAGACGAGTTGGCGGTGATTACTGTCTTGTAAGACATCGCCTTCGGATAGACTGTACTTGACTTTCATGACTTGATATACTGAAAAGCGTTTTTATTTTCGACAAACTCTTGCATGACGCGCCCTATGCCCTCCTCCTTGCCTTCTTCTTCCCCCTCACTTCCGAATTCCACGCATCCTCGAATAGTGTCTTTTTCTGCGCCATGTCCCCTGGTCGGATCCCCAGCCGTCGTACAACCTGGAATGCACCTGTGCCCACAGCCATCGTCTGTCCCATGATAATACACTCACTTACACCCTCAATCTGGTCCGTCTTCATGCCCGCCGCAGCCTCGAACAAGTGGTCCGGCGTCTTTTCAAACGATGCCAGCTGCAATACACTGTCGCGCATCTTGGAGAGACCAAATCGCGTGATACCTAGCACCTCTCCCTTGTACGTCATGACGTCGGCAAGAAGCTGCATATGTCGAGGGTCGATACCCATGTCACCCATGACCTGGCTGATCTCATCGGCAATGGTGCTTCGTGCAGCTTCGATACCAAGCACGTCACGACACTCCATGACGTTGTTTGACCGGGTTTGGGTGCCAATGACTCCCTCTGTAGTCATGCACTCGCGTAATCCATAACCTTCGACAAGCACCGTGTGCGTGTTCTGCTCCGATGTTTGAATAATGGCACGAGTAGCCTCCGAATACCCAGAAATGGGGACGTGCGGGAGCGCGCGACGCAAAAAGTTGGCTCGCAGTAACATGTCGCCGCTGTCCTCGAGGGCTGGCTTGGTACGTGTCGTCTTTCTGGCAGGCATGTCACTTGCATCTCGTACCCGAATGACGATCCTCTCGCCATAGACAGACAGATCTTCCCGAGGAATCTTCAGTTTTCGCTGTTTGCAGATGGATTCGGCAATGTCATAAATACCAATGCCCAGGTGTAGGTCTGACAGAGCGCTTCGGTCAATTTGTAGTACCACGTTGCCCTCGTCAGGACGCCATTCGTCTTCGACAAAATGTAGCACGTCCGAGATGTACGTCTTTTCGATACGGCCTTTGACGACTCTTGCGGCCTCAATTTGTTTATCGTTCATCAGAGGGCATGTAATAACCGGCGTACTGATATTCTTGGAGGCATTGATGATTTCCTTGATACGCGGTACACCCTGTGTGATACTCATACCGGCAACACCAGCAAAATGGAAAGTTTTCAGCGTCATCTGCGTACCAGGTTCACCAATGGACTGAGCACCAACGGCTCCGACAGCATGGCCAGGTTCCACGTGGGCTTTCTTGTACTTTTCAAGACACATCTTGATAAAGAGCCGCAACGTTGTTGCCGTCACCTTGGCAGTACGGTCAGCATGATCTTGAGCAGTGGCCCTGAGCATCTTGTCGCCATCAAATCCAGCCAGCTTTCGGACCTTCTCGAGCTTGGAAGCCAATCCTTCTACATGGTTTTCGATGGTCTTTAGGAAGCGACGGGCACCTTCGTGCTCATCGATACCGTAATCCGTTGTGTCTTCGTAGTCAAGCTTCTCACCATATGCTAATCCGTGCCTGGGAAACCGCTTTCGCTCAACAGCAAGCATGGAGTCACAGAATGCCCTGATTTCGCTGGGGGTCATGGCGGCCTCCTCATTATCCCAGGTAAGTGTTTCGGCGTGACTCCAAGTTCGCTTAAAGTTGACGGGTTCAGCGGAGCCCTCCATGTCAACAGGGTCGAGCTTGTCAGCTCCAAACTGGAACTGAACAATGCCACCTCCTGATGTTCTGACAGTGTCATCATACTGAGTTGATAAATCCTCCAGTGACTTCATCAGTCGTCGCGACATATAACCAGTTTCAGCAGTCTTGACAGCAGTATCGACCAGACCTTCACGACCAGAAATGGCGTGGAATAAGAATTCCGTGGGGAATAATCCCGTGTAGAAACTATTCTTGACGAAGCCTTTAGAGGGGGGTTGGCGAGCGTTCTTGTGGAAATGAGGCAAACTTCTGTCTTGGAACCCGTCAGGAACTCGCTGCCCACCAATAATTTGCTGACCGACGACGGCCACCATTTGAGCAACGTTAATATCGGAGCCCTTGGAGCCAGACTGCGCCATGATAAGGGGAGCGTTGTTTCGACTCAGAGTATCAATACAGTAAGAACCGGCCTGCTGTCGAACCTTGCTGAGAATACCAGAGATGGAGTTTTCCAGAGTCTGCTCCATGTTACAGCCCGGAGCCTTGTCTAGTTTGCCTTGCTTAAAAGTCTCGATAAGATCGTCACACATCTTATAGGCGGTCGATACCAAGTTCTCTTTCTCGACATTCAGAGTCTCTGTAGGAAAGACGTCGCCAACACCAATAGAAAATCCTCGGTTCGTGAGCGCTCTGGCACAAAGCTTGGCTAGCCGATTCATGGCAATAACTGCCTCGTCTGGGCCGAAATCTCGAAGAATAACATAGAAGATGGAATCCTTCTTTCCAGATCCGACGGTTGACTTGTCCATACGACCACACATGACCTCTGAATTGCGAACAACAAGCCAGCCATCATTGGGGTCCATATCAGGGCATTGCCCGGGGCGCGCTTTGTATGCTCGACACTTTGCGTCAAGGTTGATCTTGACGGAACAGTCCTTGTTTGGTCTCATCATGATGCTGAATATTTGTTTTCCAGTCCACAGGGCCTTGGGTGCCACAATAGCGGGAGGGGGAATCTCGATTTTAGTTCCCTGCTCCATCATGTGCATGCAGATGTATGAAAACGATTTGCGATCAAAGAATCGATCCTTACTACTTAGCAAGAAAGCAGCTGTGATGAAATCTTGCGTTGCAGCAATAATCGGTTCTCCGTTCTTGGGGGTAGCTAGATTGTACTTGACGCCCATGAGATTGATAGCCTCTGCCCTCGCCTCTTCTGTCTGAGGAACGTGAAGGTTCATTTCATCACCATCAAAATCAGCATTGTACGGGTTGCACACACACTCATTGAGACGAAATGTCCTCCAGGGTCGAATCTTGGCGAGATGGCTCATAATACTGAGCTTGTGAAGTGAGGGTTGACGGTTGAAGAGCACCACGTCACCGTCCTCGAGGTGGCGTTCGACAATATCGCCATAGCTAAGTTGCTTGGCCGCCAAATCTCTATTACCAAAGCGTAGATTGAATTTGTAGTAACTGTCGTCTTCTTTCTTGAGGATTCCCTGCGCTCCAGGCCACACATCGCAGCCGTTTCGGACACATTGGCGTAGCTTTTCGATGTTTTGCCGATTGACTTTTTCGGGATATGTCAAGTTTTTGGCGACAAGCTGGGGGACAGCAACTTGGTCGATCCCCAAGTTGGGGTCGGGCGAAATAACGGTACGGCCAGAGAAATCGACTCGCTTTCCGGACAAATTACCTCTAAACCGACCTTGTTTTCCCTTTAATCGCTGGCAGAAACCTCTGGTGGATTTGCCAAATCCTGGCTGCTGCAGACCCGGAACATCACTGTTGACGTACATGGCTATCTGAGTCTGCAGGTACTCCCACTGTTCCATGATTGTTTGGATGGGAGAGCCTTTTTGTAGGGCTGATCGGATCATGCCGCTCACCCAAACAATATCGGCCAATTTGGTTGTAAGATCATCTTCATTGCTGGCATTATCCTGTGCCACCGAGGGTCGAATACACACCGGGGGCGCGGGCACAAATTGCCAAATGAACATTTCTGGACGTCCCTCAGCTGGATCAAGACCAAGCAGCTCGCAGTCCGTTGGGCTTATCATTTTGAAGAGGTTCAATACCCTGAGAGGGTTGAGATCCTCCATGGCCTTGCGAAGATGCTTCTCGAGCTCGGGATTCTCGCGCTTTGCTTCAGAGAAGGAGTCGTCGAACTTGACTTTGCTTTCGGGAGGAACCTTCTTGGCGGCGGTAGATTTATTATAAAAGGAAAATTTGTCGTGCGTGAGCTTGAGGACGCCGATCTTTCGAATCTGGCCATTCACCGATCCACAGTAGGGGCAAGTCTTGGACTTGCGGCACTGCTCGTTGATTCTTTTGCAAATCTGGGTACGGCGGAGGTTGTCCATCGGCCGTCTCAGCTCCTTGAGGAAGGACCGCCGTTCGGGCTCTTCCAATAACACTCTTCCACAATCCTTGCAAATCTCCTGCAGAATGGACATGATGAACCGCAAATAGCCAATATGAAAGGCCGGCAGAGGCAATCGGACATGGCCAAAGTGCCCAATGCAGTTCTGTAGAGAGTCATGGCAAGTGTCGCATTTGCCGCTCTTGCTCGAGGTTCCCAGCCTCGGATCTAAAGGCCCATGGCGATATGGAGCTCGGTTATTTTCAATATCGTACAGCAGTCGGTCCGATACCTCAAGGACGGCTTGGTTGGCAATGTCCTGGTTCGACTGAATGCCAAACTTGATGCCCTTGAAGCGCTTGGGCAGCTTGTCCTCAAGCTGCTGCTTGACAGGACCCTCTGTCGAGTGGATCATGTTGAGTCGTAGAGCGTCGCTTGGTATCGCGCCGTGCGAGATGGACGAGGCTTTCGTGGCTTAGCCTTGACGTTGAGCTGGTGCTGGCGGCGTGGTTGAGACTCGGACTCGGAGGGGTCTCACAAGGCAGCCGCAGTTTGCGATCGCAGAACAAGCCCGAGCGACATGACAGAAACACACGAATGGCTAGAAGCAAAGGAAGTGAATGGGTTGCGCCCTCCGAGAGGGGTGTCGCGAACGATGACTCTTGGACGTGGGCTAGAAATATTGGCGTCAAGTTCGGAATTATG